AAAAAATCCACGTATAAGTCGCACCGGTCTATAAGCCGCATGGTTCAAAGTTCAGGAAAAAAGTCGCGGCTTATAGTCCGAAAAATATGGTAATCAAATACAGATCCAAAGACTTATGTTTCACTTTGGTGAAGTTTCCCTTCTGTATGTAACAGAGTTGGTGCAATCCACTGTAAAAGTGACAAAAAACAGACAAATATGTTATTGCAGTGATTAATTTTACCTATATATGGAAAACGTTACATTTACATCCCGTCATGGATCAGTCAGCAGCAGTATCTGATGAATATGTGATCCTTGATGTGATGTAAATGTAACCTTTTTCGACATATAGGTAAAATTAATCTCTGCGATAAAATAACTGTTTTTGTCACTTTTACAGTGGATTGCACCAACTGTTACATACAGAAGGGAAGCTTCACCAACGTGAAACATAAATCTGTTGATCTGTGTTTGATTACTCTGCCTGGCTTTCTCMAGGACCAGGATGTGACACAAAAATCTGAATTTTGGAACTGAAAGTGAAAGTAGTCAAACTGAATTTTTAATAAACCTAAATACAGTTTCAAAGCAAATTAATTCAGAAACAAAACTTTAAATTCAATTTCAATTGAGGAAAATTCATTTTCAAACAAATGCATTCAATTTCAAAATACACACATACAGATTCAATTTGAGCAATTCAAATTCAGTTCCTGCTGGCACAAGATTTATCCCAYAGACTTTGACATTAAAACAACACAAGCCTCTATTTAAACTTTATTTTTCAGAATACCAATTCATTAGAAAAGACTTTATGTAAAAAAGGCTTGTTTTCTTTGAAGTCTTGTAAATCCTTGCTTTCACCACATTTCTGCACTTCAAACTAAAAACAACTGTCCAGCCTGGYTCAGATCTACCTGCCAGCTTTTGCAATGAGAGCCAAATATTTATTGTCCATTTTTCTCTACATTTTTTTACCCACTATAATTTAGCAATAAAATTATATTTGAAGTGAATAAAAGACTTCTAATGTTTCAGTGTTTGGCTGCAGATTTTTGATCCTTTGTTGAAAGATGTTTGGTTTGTTGTTTGTTCCATGTAAGATCAATGACTGGATCACAGTGAGTCACAGACAGATGTGGGTTTAAAAACAAAGGTTCGGACCTCAGCTCTTTGAACTTCTGCTGCAGTCAGAATCTGGCCCAGAAATACACAAAACAAAGGTCTCCACTGTCCCACGTCAGCTTCTCCAGCTCGCACACTTCAAGTCCAAACTTGATTAAATAAAATAATTTCATTCAAAAAGAGTTATTAAATGCATGTTTTGATTGCTGATTCAATTCCTACGTGATAAAATAAAAATCTGATTTCTGAAGAGGCTGAAAATGAGGCTTTCATCTCCTCCTCGGCGCCTTTCTCCTCTGATTCTGCTGTGGTTKTGTTTTAGTTTTGCTTTGTTAAGATTCAGCTGATTTCTTGCATTAACCCCTTGGGATGCATCTCTTGTTTTAGGCCTCAGTATTGTGCAGAGGACCACGAATCAGCTTTAGTTTCTTCGTATTTTGCTTTTAAAGGGCCAGTATTATGTGTTTCTCAGGCATATATTTAAATACTACTGTATACCATAGTAAAGTATCTGTCACTTTTAGCTGTTATTAAAATGCTGTTTTTATGTTTGAATAGAAAATAAAC